AGTTTGCTTGGATCTGCAATTAACAGTCTTGGTACCAGTATCGAGGAAATTAAAAAACAAATTGCTTTGGGGAAATCTGTTGCCATAGACATCTCCAGAGTAGTAAAAGAGCAATGATGTCAGTCCTGAGACTGAGGTGCACCTGATCCAGGCCATGGTCTTCAGATTTACTTTCTATGTGTCAAAAAGCTGGACAATGACTAGGGATGATAGAAGGAGAATTGATGCCTTCGAGCTATGGTTCTGGAGAAGAGTATCGAATATACCACAAACTGCTAGGAGAACAAACAGGTTCATCCTAGAGAAGATGAAACCATGTTGCTCCTTGGAGGCAAAGATTTGGAAGCTCCTTCTGACATACTTTGGGCATGTAGCGAGGAGGGACGAGTCCTTAGAGAGGGACATCATGCTTTGGAGGATGGAGGGACAGAGTAAAAGAGGAAGACTCTGGATGAGATGGATTGACTCAGGGTAATGCGGGTAGTTGTGTAAGAAACAATGTTGGGCTCAAGATAGAGCAGTGTTCAGAGCTGTTGTACATAGGGTTGCTATGAGTCACAAGTGACTCAATGAATGACACATAACAACAACAACCATGACATGTATATGGAAACTAGTTAAGAAATAAGAAATTGAAAAAGAATTAATGTCTGAATTATAGTGCTAATGAAGAATACTGACTATTCAATCAACTGCCAAATAAATAAATTGGTATCTGCCTTGGAATAAGCGTTGTCAGAAGCCTGCTTAGATGCAGCATTTTGCATTGATATTTTGAAGACATAAGACTTCATCTCACATATTTTGGACATGTTAGTAGGAGGGAGTGATTGAGAGGAAGTTTCACCGTAAGAGGGTTACCGAAAGAAAGGAAGACTTTCAGCAAGACAGATTGACACACTGTTGCTGCAGTGGGCATGATAGAGATCATGACAATAGTGCAGAGTAGTACAGAGTCCAGATTTGTTGTTCGGAGGGTCATTGTGAGTCATAGTCACCTTGATGGTATTTTACATCAACAACCATTCCTTGGAGAAGGACATCACACTTCCACATGGCAACAATTGGGAGGATGGCCCAGGAGCTGACAGTGCTTCCCTCTGCGCTACATAGGGTGGCTCTGGGTCAGAGCTGACTTAACGTGTAACAGCGACAACAACTTCTCTGATACTTATTTGTTGTTTGGGGTCACTAAGTCAATTCTGACTTGTTGTTGCTATGTACTATTAAGTTGATAACCCCAGGAACAACAGATCTGAACCCTGTCCTATCCTGTGACTTCTATACTCAACAGAAAGTAACACTTTCTGGTCTTGAACCATCCTCAAAACCTATGCTATGTTTGAACACATTGTCTCGGTCACTGTGTCAATCCTTTTTCCCTGAGGCTCTACCACCCATTGTGTTCTATAGGAACTGATTTCTCCTCATAAAAATTGAAAGCTCATGAGATGGAATCTCTTCATCTTCCCTTTTAAGAAACACTCTCTCTTGTCATATGTTCTTCTCCCACACTTTGATATTCTCTACTTGCACATTTACCATGCATTCATCTTTCATACTTCAATCTTCATCAGTAAGGTCATCAAGACTTCAGTTACAGCAAATAAGTCTGAGCCATCGACATATCACAGATTTTTCCTTCAATCTTGATGCTGCATTCTGCTTTACATATCCCAGCTTTTGAGATTATTTACTCAACAAATATTTGAGTAGCAGAAAGTTGAAACAGGATCCACATATTACACCATACACAAAAATCAACTCAAAGTGGATTGGAGACCTGGGATTGAAGCTCAACATCATAAAATTCATCAGAGGAAAACTGGGATCAAGCTTAGATAGCCTAGTCTATGGTATAAAGTGACTGCCAAAAACAGCTGCAGATATGAAATGGATGCATGGGACCTTCTAAAGATTAAATCTCTGTGCACATCAAAAACATTTTCCAGCAAAGTGAAAAGAAAACCTACTGAGTGGGGGAAAAAAAAATTTGGCAATACCACCTCAGGCAATGATCTCATAGCAAACATTTACAGAATCATACAGGGCCTCCACAAGAAAAAGTCTGATCACACAGTTACACAATGAGTAAAAGGTATGAAAAGAATTTTCACACAGGCAGATATTGGGATGGTCAATAAACACATGAAGAAATGCTCAAATTCACTGGCAAAAAGAGAGATGCAAATCAAGACCACAGTAAGATACCATCTCACCCCAGTAGCAGTGGTAAAGCTTAACAGAACAGCAAGTAATAAATGTTGGAGATGTGGAGAGAGGCTCTTCTACATTGCTGGTGAGGTTGTATGTTGGTACAGTCACTCTGAGGCAGTTTAGTGTTTCCTCAAGAAGCTGAACATAGAAATTCCATATGACCAAGCTATTCTACTGCTTGGAATATACTCTGAGAAAATGAGAACTGAGATGCCAACAGAGACTTGTATACCAATGTTCATAGCAGCGTTATTCACCATTGCAAGAACATGGAAACAGCCCAAATGTCCAACCACAATTGGATGGATTGAGAAATTGAGGTACATTCACATGAGGAATTCTATGCAATACACAGGAGTAACAATTTTATAAATCACTACATTACTTGGAGGGACTGGAAAGAATTATGCTATGTGAAATAGCTCAGTCCCAGGACACCTACTGTATTGGGCCATTAATGTAAAATGTGTGTGAGAGCACAGGGATGAGGATGAGGGAGTGGTTAATCATAGGGTCACACAATTTGATGAGCGGAGGGAGGGATGGGAAAAGGAAATTTGAAAGGTCTGGTGTGAAAAATGGCATATGAACTTTGTTAGTAAACCAGTTGTTGTTGATAAATGCTCAAGTTGTAGGTGACTCATAGCAACTCTATGAACTTTCTTTGTTTTTCCAAGTTCATAGGATTTCCAGAGGCAAGCTAAATAAAAAACTTCTTTTAAAAAACAAAAAAGTTTGAGTAGGAGTGTTGAAAGGATAGCACCCTAATACACATCTTTCCTTAACCGTACCCCTTGTTCTGTTTAAACGTCTGCTTCTTGATCTATGCACAGGCTCCATATAAACACAATCAAGTAATGTTTTGGAATTCCCACTCTTGGAAATGTCATCCATGATCCACACAATTGGATATTTTTCCATAGTCAATAAAACACGAGTAAATACAGACTGAGGAAAGCCTGACCCAAGCCACAGTATTTTCAATGCTTTATATACTGTGAAAGTTGAACAGTGAATGAAAAAGACCAAGAAATAGTTGATTCCTCTGAATTATGATGTTGACAAAAAGTATTGAATATCTATCTCCCTGGGCTGCCAAAAGAACAAACAATTCCCTCTTGGAAGAAGGATATACAGAGTAGTCTTTAGAAGCAAGAACAGTGACACTTTGTCTCATGTACTTTGAACAGGTTATCAGAGGGTTCCAGATCTGGAGAAGGACTGCAACTTGGAAAATTTGCGGGTCGTTGTAAGAGAGAAAGATATTCAATAACATGAATTGACACAATGTCTGCAACAATGGCCTTAAACACGACAGAGATTGTGAGGGTGGCACAGAATAGGGCAGTGTTTCCTCTATGTCCGTGTGATTTGGCGCTGACTCAATGGCATCTAGGAGCAATAATGTAGATCATTTTGTTATCCCAAACTAGCAAACAAATCTCTTCCCCTCACGTCAATTTTGACTCCCAGTAAACCTATATGACAGGGTAAACCGAGTTTGTAACCTTTATAAAAACAAATATCACATCTTATTCCCAAGGAGTCTGGTGGATTAAAATCTTCAGTTATTGTTTTTGTTATGTGCCTTCTAGTAGCTTGATACTCATAGTGACCGTATGTACAACAGCCCTAAACCCTACTCTATCTCTTACAAACCTAATTGTCTTTAACATGCCTACTCCCATTACCCCAGTGACGGAATCAATCCATTTCATTGAGGGTCTTCCTCTCCTGCGCTGTCCCTT